AGGGGACCAGGGTCAGGTATACCTTCTGCAGGTAATTTTTACATTCTATTACCTGGTGGACTTCAGGTAACGGTGCTCTTGTGTTGGAAAATATTAAGTTATGTTATAAAACTTAAAGTATTCTAATCCTTAGCAACAAAATTCTGATTCTAATAAGTTAATATTAAGTATTAATTTACATCGAACTGAACGGGGATATTACTAAACATTAATCTCTGGGAAATAATGTTGAAATATATGAAAATTAGGTGAGAAAATTATGTTTGTTTCTGGATGTGTTGGTCAATGGTTGGTTTCTGGATTACTGTTATCCATCACAGTCATCCATCATTATCCATCACTATTATCCATCAGTATTTATCAGTAGGTCATCCACTCTGGCTCACACAGGTCACCATCTGAGACGTGAAGGATAAAGCATTGAACTTTGGCTCTCACCTTCCATTCCCCTCTCATCCTTCTTCCCTCAACCTTCACCTCTTTCCCTCTCCCTACCCCCTTTCTCCCTTACCTCCTCCCCAACCTTTTCCCTCTTATCGAGTTTTCCCTCCCCCTCTCACCCCTCTCCTTCCCCTCCCACTCATCCCTCTTCCCTCCCATCGCCCACACCTCCCCTGCTCCCCTGAAGTTGACCTTACCTTGGAGGGCGAGAGAAAGGGGACGAAAAGGGCATGTTGATGGAGTTGATGAAGGAGAAGAAGAATGATGGAGAAGAAGAATGATGGAGAAGAATGATGGAGAAGAAGAATGATGGAGAAGAAGAATGATGGAGAAGAAGAATGATGGAGAAGAAGAATGATGGAGAAGAAGAATGATGGAGAAGAAGAATGATGGAAAAGAAGAATGATGGAGAAGAAGAATGATGGAGAAGAAGAATGATGAAGAAGAAGAATGATGGAGAAGAAGAATGATGAAGAAGAAAATGATGAAGAAGAAGAATGATGAAGAAGAAAATGATGAAGAAGAAGAATGATGAAGAAGAAGAATGATGAAGAAGAGAGCTATATAAGGATGATGAAGAATGATAATGGAAAAGGTTAACTTGGTGGTAGCGGCGTCAATATCTCCACCATGTTTTAAGGAATAATCGTCTCTCTCGTAGTGACAAGATAGACGGCCAACACGAGAGAGAGACGAAGACTAATGTAAATATGTAATATCCTGTAGCTTATAGAGTTGTATTTTGTTAAGTAAAGACAAAGATAAATGATAATAATGATAATACTAATAACGCTACTACTAACAACATCAACTACTAATTAACTAACTAAGCGAAACTAAACTAAACTAAACTAAACGAAACATAAGTCGCTAAATGAATAAATAAATAAATAACAAATGAAGCAAATAAATAAAATAAATGAACATCACCTGACATTTCACTGGTTCTTGGTCACATTCACTTATGACTAAAAAAAAAAACTAACTCATTTGTTAAGAGAAATATAAGGCCCAAGTATTATAGTAATTTATTTATTTATTTAACTTTGTATTCAGGAATTCTGTTGATATTAAAGATTCATGATGTTAAGCTCAATGGTCGAGCCAGTGACACGCTTTTATTCTCTCGGTTCATTATTTGATGTTCCTCACTCTACCTACCTCCTTTTCCATCGCCCCTTTTCACCCTCTCACACTCTCTCTCTCACTCTTCCACATATTTCTTTACTCTCCCACACCCTCCCACACTCTCCCAAAACCCTAACTTACTCTCTCACGCCCTCCCACATTCTCCCACAAATTCCCTCACACTCCCACACCCTCCCATACCCTCCCATACTCTCCCACACCCTCCTTCACTCTCCCTCACCCTCCCTCACTCTCCACACTCTCCCACACCCTCCCACACTCCCTCAGCCCCACACTCTCCCACACCCTCCCCTCACTCTCCCCACACCCTCCCACTCTCCCTCCAGCTTCCCACACTCTCCCACACTCTCCCACACCCCACAACCTCCCCACTCTCCCACAGCCTCCTTCAGTCCCCCTCACCCTCACTCTCCCACCTCTCCCCACACCCCCCCACAACCTCCTCACTCTCCCACACTCTCCACACCCCCCACCCTCCCTCACCTCCCCTCACCCCTCCCCTACTCTCCCTCACTCTCCCACACCCTCCCACACTCCCTCAACCTCCCACACCCCCACAACCTCCCCTCCCTCCCCACAGTCTCCCACACTTCCCTCACTCTCCCACATCTCCCCTCACTCTCCCACACCCCCACAACCTCCCTCACTCTCCCACACTCTCCCCTCACCCTCCCCACAGTCTCCCACACTTTCCCTCACTCTCCCACACCCTCCCTCACTCACCCACACCCCCCACAACCTCCCTCACTCTCCCTCATTCTCCCACACTCTCCCACAGTCTCCCACACCCTCCCTCACTCTCCCACACACAGGTAAGAAGTAGAACATGGACAGTAAGCCAGCCTGGGAATGAAATTTTACTTTCCACTAATCCCTTATCCCCGGGTCCGACACGCCGCCGCCGAGCGAAACAACACGTTAATGAGCGAAACATTTCAAGAGTGACATATGCCTTTGAAGCCCAATTCCAGGTTTACCAGAGACTTTCATCTATCATCACATCAAATCGTGTTTTGTTTTTGTTTGTTCTACTCGTGTACTTCACCTGGGGGTAGTGTTCCAGACTGGTTAGGTCACTCAGGTAAATACGGAAGGTAAACGTATATAATGTCAACCCTCATTTGAATAAACTAACAACCCCAGACTAGTTAAAAAGGTAGTGAAATGATAGTTTCATATAAGATCACCCGCCTATGTCATTCAAGATCACCACGTCTCTGGCCTTGTTGGACCCCGTGGCCACCCCTACCCGGTGCCCTTGCCTGGCTGGGGTATATAAGGGTTTATGCAGGTTGGTACAGACATCAGATACCCAGTGAGTCTCTTACCATCAACACCTCCACCATCATCACCTGCACCATGAAGGCTGTGAGTATCGTACTTTCCCCAGCACCTTCCCCCAGCACCTTCCCCCAGCACCTTCCCCCAGCACCTTCCCCCAGCACTTTCAGCCTCCCTGGGATGCTTTCTTGCACTTCCGAACTCTCTAAGGCTCTTAAGGGGTGTCCAGATTACCAAGTCATGTTACGTTAATTTCCATCAACATTTTTAACATTATTTCCTTTAATTTTTAAGAGTAAAACACCTGTCCCCATGATACTGTTTAGTCTAGTAAGTAGTTTGTAGATTTTCATAACTTTTCTTCTTGTGAAATGAAAAACAAACACACGAGATACGAAGACAGTATGACTTAGTATATCTCATCCACTAATGTGTTGGGTAGTATCCGTGATTCATCTTATTAGGTAGATTTAAGCTCTCTAATAAACCTAAATAAGAGAGAGAGAGAGAGAGAGAGAGAGAGAGAGAGGGGGGGGAGGGGGGGGGGGCAGAAGAGGCCCTCATTCCCCACATAAAAACAGGCAATAAATTGAATCACATTTACACAAGATGACTGACCCTTTCTAACTCACGTCACCTGCCTTCGCCCTCTGTAGGCAGCTCGGGTAATTAACTCACATAAACACCAAGCAACGCGTAGATAATTGCCGAGGATTTGATAAACTATTAATTTAAATTTTACATTGTATATCAGAAATCAAACAAGAGGTTATATTATGTTGTTGTTATTGTTGTATTAATGTAGTCAGGTGTTGTGACGGCCAGGGTTTTAGAACACAATTCATAAAAGTCTTATTCAACAATAGACTCAGGTGCCATGTGTCAGGTAATCATAACAACACCTGGTCGAGTATTCACGAGGCTTTGTTTCCGTGGGTGACTGAGAGACGGATGCACTAAGTATTCTAAATAACTCACGAGCAGGACAGTAACACACGTGAGACTGAATGAGTGAGGTCCACTAAAAGTAATTCCTCGGTGTCTGGTGAACGTAATAATAATGTTTACCAAAGACATTATTGTTAGTGAACTGATAATCCATAAAAAAGTCTTTGTGTTTGATGAAGGTAAATTATAAACAAAGATCCCGTTTCACATCTGCCTAACCTAACCTAACCCTCCCGTGACGTTCTGACTTCTGGCTCCAACAGGTCATCTTCGCCGCCGTTGTCGCCTTGGCCGCCGCCGCCAAGCTGCCTGGAGCGCCAGCACCTACCCCCGTCCCCATCATCCACCAGGCCCAGGTGAATCCCGAGCTCGGTACTCACAACTTTGAGTTCGAATCTGGCAACGGCATCGTGATACAGGAGTCAGGATCTGAAGGCACCCTGGGGGGAGCCAACCGCATCGGCCAGTTCAGGTGAGTCAGTCTGTCTACCTGGCCACCTTGTCTGCTGGATGAGTCATATTATCCCTCCTCCCCGCCCTCACATAGTTGTCCAGCATTGCATCATCCGTTAGTGTTTTATCTCAGGAACTGTTTTTGTCACTCCGGCTCTACTAACACACAACAGAAGGTCAGAAGATCCCATAAGTTCTACTTTGATGCAAAAGCTTTTATCATCCCACACAAGAATGTCAGGTGTTCTTTAGGTTAATAACTGACTCTTTTTAACAGCTACCCCCAAGAGGACGGCACACTGGCTGTGGTCCAGTTCGTGGCTGACGAGAACGGTTTCCAGCCCCAGTCCAGCCTGCTGCCCGTGGCCCCCGCCTTCCCCCACCCCATCCCCCAGTTCGTCCTCGACCAGATCGCCTTCGCTGAGGCCGAGAAGGAACGCAAGGCTCGTGAGGGCAAGCCCCAGTGAGCCTTCATCTTTTCTCCCTTTCTCCAGAATCGACCCGGTCAGACGGTGACTGTCTCTGTCTAACAGCCGGTGACCTAATATGACTTATTGTGTATTTATTCTCACGAATGTGTAAATAAATTATTTACAACATATTCCAAGATTTCTACTTCTCCCAGTTCATGTTCTTGTGAAGTGTGAGGTCTTGTGGGACCAACTCGCCTCTCGTGGAAGGACAAAAGATAGTACAGCACACAACCATTCCCTGGGCCACCCGCACCTCCCTACCAACTGTCACATCTCTACAAAACTCTGGAAATGCATAATGAACACACATACCGGTCTCTTTAAATGTCTAGCAACATTATAACTATCTATTTATATGATTCTATCCCGGGGCGGGGCGGGGCGGGGCGGGGCGGAGGGAGTGTTAGTACCTATGAGTGGTGCGAAAGGTCAGTTGCTCTTTTAATAGTTCGTGTAGAATACTATGGTTAGAATCCTCCCCCTCTCTCTCTCTCTCTCTCCCCTTGGGCAAAGTGACTACACACTAAGTTAGGGCAGAGTCTCTGTGCAGTTTCCACACCATTTAGGACGACGCCTTTCTCCTACAGCAGATTTAGTGAGACAGATGGTGAGGCGGGTTTTCTCGTCTCCAGCTGTGAGAATATTTTTAACCTACTGTACACACCCTTGAGTTCTTTTCACCATGGATGGGAAAGGTGAGGTTAACAGCGTGTGTTTTTGTCATAGGTGAACCAGTATGTGTGTCTGTGTGTGTATGTATGTATGTAAATATGTTTGTATGTATGTATGTATGATACTTATGTGATGTTTGGATCCGCGTCCACATGAATCTGTGTATACATCTCCCCCAACGCACACACCGTTTGCTTAACTCTTATACACAGAACGTCACCTAGACTAGACCTATTCATCATGGTACTCTGCTTTAACATAAAAACCCCAAAAGCATAACTTCACTTTATTCGAAACAAAATTGAGAGGTTCATTTTGGATGTGGGTTCGAGGCATCATCACGAATTCCTACAAGCATTGTTGCTGGAGATGTTAAATGCCAAGAACACATTATCTGAAGCTCTGTAAGGATTAGGGATTTGAGTCAGCGGCGCACTAGGAGCAGTGAACATAATTTTGTAGTGTCTGCTGTACACGGTGAATAATAAACCACGAACTTCTTTACAACTAAAATAATTTATTTAACCACATCTAAGCCAAAATAATATGAAACAGAATTTACAATCAAATATTACTTGGCTAAAAGCTCTTATCTGTTCTCTCAGTCATAATTACGAACGAGAGAGAAACAGAGATAATGAACACAAAGTAACAGTACCCATACAGTACTATACGCTGTTTACATAAGTTTATACTAAAAATTGCATCAAAGTCTTTCGTTTTCTTTGATGACATTATTAGTATCTTGACCACCTACTTTGTTCACATGAAAGTATTTCTGTATAATTACGACTACATAGTATTAAATCTTAAATAAATATAATCTTAACACATAATATTACTATCGTTTATTGTAGATTTGCTTATAAGAAAACAGGAAAACCAGTATTTACTATATACTACTCAGTCTAGTGTTTGTAGGGGGAACTATGTTAGATTAATATCGGATCCACAGTAGTATAATCGTATTTCCTTGTCTAAACTCTAATATTTACATACAAACACTATACAAACTTGAGTGACATACTTTTTACAATATAAATATATGGCAAATAATATAGTTAGTAGTGTAAGTTGTGAAAAAAGATACGAAAAACCATAAAAACGAAGTAGTTTGAGTTCAGTTATGTTTCGGTATTCCGGTCTGAAATCAAGTACCGAACCCCCGACTCGACCCCACGAGGAGCTCACGGGGCAGACATGCTTCCAAATAATAAACCTTGATTATTATAATTTCTAATCATAATTATTTTAGTTATGGTTATGTGTATTGGCGATAAACTAAAACAACGGGATCAAAGTTTTATTCGAGAATCTTAAATGATTACTGTATTTTAACACGTAAATATCTGAACCAATCGAACTTAAGTAAACTTGACTAAATCCTGAACTAAATTTACATAACCAACCCAACTTTACCCAACGTAACTTTACCAAACTTTATCTTACCTTTGTCTTAACGATATGAGTATTAAAACCAAACGTGTTGATCTTCACGACAATGGTAGTGCAGCTGCACCACACTATTGACACTTTAAAGATGTAAGCAATACACAATGGGCCTTGGAAATGTCAACAACAACAGCGTCTTTGTCCAAAACACGTTGAATACTTTCCTCACACAAGACACAACGCCCATGACACATCGAAAACATACTGCGACTGAATTCTGAATATTTCCACTTGTAAATACTGTGTTTGAGCATGCGCAGGTCTCTCACATGACAGTGAGTGCTCCTGATTGGTCGAGCATAATAATATGAACTTTTTGTAATTGAGAAGTAAGCATTAATATACTGCGAAACTATTTCCAGTGAACTTAAATGGTCTAAATTGTTGGATCCTGATCGTGTGAATATTACGTGAAGAAGAAGTAAACATTAAATCCCGCGAAATTTATCCTGCGGATTCAAAACCCGCTAAAGATATACGATTGTTCGTTACATTATAATGAAAATAACTCACAAACTATTAATTTCCACCAAAAAAGTAATATAATAAATTATTATTATTATTTTATGCTCTATCATTCTATAAGCAAATTAATATAAGTTTTCGAATTTTAACCGAAATTATTACTACAGGTGCTATTAATTTCCTCCTCCTCCGCCTACTTTTTTCCAACGTGGCCTCCAGCCTCCCCAAATAGTCACACCTTCGCCGCCATTTTATTACCGTAAAATTAAATATCCAAATATATAAGTAGCTACCCTAGCTGTGTTGAGTTAGTTGAGCCGCAGATCTATGCGGCATTCGGTGACTGTTGCCTCATAGTCAATATCTTGGAACCGATGCTCTCATTCCCCTGAGGGAAAGCAATGCAGACCTAAGCAAAGCGAAGGACAGTCGATATCTCATCCAGGCTGTAACGTAACTTCTGGGCTGCTGCTTCCGTTCAGGTAACACCTCCGCGAGTCTGGCGTACAGTAGAAACATTTTGCACTTGGCTCCATCCCATCAGAGGTTGTGAACACCAGAGGAGTGAAGCTGCCCTGATCAACATTCCGAATTCTCTCCCCATATGCCCTGATCTTGTCATTCTCGTTCCTCTTGTGTGCAGCATCGAGAGCTATGTTACGGTGACATGCGGCCATGGGATCGAAAATCCCTATGCCAAAGAAGTCTCGCTGTCACCCTGTTCAGAATCCTCGAGCACTGACGTCCACACAGGCTTCGTTGGATGTGTTTGAAGTCCTGTGACGGAGGTTCTCACCGTTCAATGGAATGAGGGGCGGTTCCACCATGACGTCGTGGCAGATTTCCTTCAGTAAATTTTCTGTGAGATCCCTTACTTCGTCATGCCTCATGGATATGAAGTCCCCTTTCTTGCACGCATACCATGGCGTGGTCAATGTCATAAGATGAGCCACACACATTGGGAAGGCAAACCTTCTACTGGCCTCCCGTACCATAGAGCAATGGCATCTGTGAATTCTTCTTTATTAGAGATGAAGCCTTTTGCCCTTATCGGTAACGTTGTTAGCCAGTTCGAGGAGCCCACCTTCTGCGCTACAGCTACCTTTTTTTTTAGAGTTCTCCGGCAATTGCTGCAACAGTTGTTGCAGTTTATCACTTTGGGTGTGCTGCCGTTCTTTCGTAATGGACCGTCGAATGTGTTTAATTCCTTGGTATCCACCTGACTTGCTGCATTCTAAGGTATTATGTGCTCAGTGAGGGCTGCCGTGAGCTTGACTGAGTTCCGATGTTTTGTAGCAGCAAGCTTCACTGGATTAGTCATTCCCATACCTCCCAGTCTCGGTGGTAGTGCAAGGAGTGACCTTTCTGCTGGGGTTAAATAAGGGTTTTTCACTAGTGTTGGGATAAAAGCGACATTGCTGGCTTCTTCCAGAGGGAGGAGGAGGGGTGGATATCCGGGATAGTGCGCATCAGGCAATTCCAGCGATGCTTGACTCCATGGGTGAATGCCGCAAAAGCCGCAAGTGGCTTTGTTTTAGCAATATCAGACAGAACTTGGATTCCCTTCACCCACCCATTAACCTTTCCCGTTGCATATTGCTACTACTACTACAACCAGCTTCCTAATACAACTACTACTACTATTACTACTACTATCTACTACTATAATAAGGTATATCTTCACTTCACACCTCCATAAACAACGCTTCCCCCACAACACTGACGGCCGCTCCTTATACTTCCAGAGTATCTCAAAAGTCCCCATACTCAAAGTTGGCTCTTTATAGTAGTTTGATGGCTAACGATAGCCATCCATGGTTTCACGCGGCACATGCTGGCAACATCGCAGAAGATTGCTGAGTAATGTACCGGTCACGTGACTTCGTGCATGAGCGGGTAGAGAGCGTAAGTGTGAGTTTTAAGCGGGCACAGGGGGTCGCTATGTTGGAGGCGTACAGTCACCCACAAAAGTCCTGTCGCTTCTCCTCCTGAACCACGAACCCCAGGATTCAGATTTGTGAAGCCGAAGTATTTATGAACAGAATAATGTATCAGTGTCTACTGTGGGTGCAAGTCTTATCAACACACCGTTGAAATGTTTAGAAGGAGATTCCTCGATAGCTCGACACCATGTAAGGCTATTGTTTATGAACTAGTGAAAAGTTTTCTTGACACAGGAAGTGTGAAAGACAGACCAAGAAGCGGGCGGCGGTCAATAGTGACCATTAAACTACTATAAATTGGCAAACTTTGAGTATGGGGACTTTTGAGACACCCTGTTTTAACTTTATTAAGGTGGAGCCAGAAGGTCTTTCCTGGAAAAGCCAAGTATTATCCGAAAAATAGAAGTCGTTTAGAGAATGTGGCCACTACCATTCACAATCCCAAAAGGAGGGTTAATGGCTGGTGGAGGGTAGGAATGGAGGGAAGGGGTGGGTTGTCGAGGGTAGAAATGGAGGGAAATGGAAGGAGGGAAGGGAGTGGTAGTTATGGAAGGAAAGGGAAAATACAAACAAGTGAAAGAACACAATAATGTCTTTCATCATGGTGTGAATGGTACGAGTCAACGAGAATTTCAGGGATATGGGAGTGAGATGTATGGGAGGTGCGAGTGTACGTGCGTTATGAGTTTCCACACCTTGTTATACTATAGGTGACCTTATGATATCTGGGGGGGTCACAGTGAAGGTCAATAGCTGTAGGCCCAGGTCAGATTGTCTGTATATGAGTTGGTTTTTAAATCGATCTTGTGTCATATAATAATAAAGGTCATTTTATGGTATCGTCTGTCTGTCTGTCTCGCTCCTCCCTCAGGCTACCGGGACCCTCATTTCCCGGTCTTCATTGGCAATCTACAGTCTTGCCTCTACCGGTAACTGCAAGGTTCCCTATATAAAGTGTCTTCCCTGAAATATGTCAACTTATACTGAAGAGCCTTACCCAAGACCCCACAAAGACTTCTATCACTTGCCATCACTTACCCAAGACCCACAAAGGACCCACAAAGACTTCTATCACTTACCCAAGACCCCACAAAGGGGACTTCCATCACTTACCCAAGACCCACAAAGGTCAACTTTACTGAAGAGCCTTACCCAAGACTTCCATCACCCACAAAGACTTTCTATCACTTACCCAAGACCCCACAAAGAGGACCCAAGCCAAGACCCCACAAAGACTACCCAAGACCCACAAAGACTTCTATCACTTACCCAAGACCCCACAAAGACTTCCATCACTTACCCAAGACCCACAAAGACTTCCATCACTTACCCAAGACCCACAAAGACTTCCATCACAAGACCCAGGAGGATCTGCCATATTCTTGAGGTGATATAAAAATGAATAGCAATCAGTCTGAGCGTCTTCCCCTCTCCTCTCCATTTTATTTCTCTTCTTACCAATACCTCTTTCGTTGTCTTCTCTCTCTTCTGCATCCTCCTCCTCCTCCTCCTCCTGCTTCTCTTTCTTCTTCTTACTCTTTTTATGTCTCCAAACATCATGACGGTCTTGTTATTTACCCCCATCCTGTGATAGTGATTACGTTGCCACGACGATCCACGACGCCTCGCCTCTCAATCTGTCCTTAAGTGTGTGTGTGTGTGGGAGGTGGGAGGGGGGGGGGGGTTCTGGTCATTTTCCTGTGATTAATTTCATTGTTGTAGATTCAGTCAGTGGCTCCCGGGTGTACAGCATCAGGGTGGTGATGACTGACGCGATAAATTTATATTTCTTCAATGTTCTTCCCCTTAATTAACACTTTTCCTCTCTTTGTTACTTCTCACTTGTTTACTATTTACAAATTTGATTTTCACTTTTAGATTATCGTTAAAACACAGAGAGATGGGCCTGGCAGCCGCTTTATCTTGACTCTCTTGTGTCGAAGGTTTCCTGTTAAACTCCTCAGCCTTGGCGTATCCGATGCATTAACCTTTACTTAATCCTGTAACCTCACAAAATTCAATCTGGTCGAGGACGAACTGGGGGATGGGGTGGGGGAAGGCGGGGGCCACGGGCAGCAGGTCGGACTGGGGCTGGAAACCGTTCTCGTCAGCCACGAACTGGACTGTCGCTACACTGCCGTCCTCCTGGAGGTAACTGGGAGAAATTATTTTAGTTGTCAGGTACACTATATCCACTACACTATAAACTGCACTATATCCACTACACTATAAACTATACACTATATCCACTACACTATAAACTGCACTATATCCACTACACTATGAACTACACTACATCCACTACACTGTAAACTATACACTATATCCACAACACTATAAACTGCACTATATCCACTACACTATGAACTACACTACATCCACTACACTGTAAACTATACACTATATCCACTACACTATGAACTACACTATATCCACTACACTATAAACTACACTACCGCCTGGGAAGATATATGAAGCATCATATGTTGTCTAATGGTAGACCCTGCTGCCATATGGCATCACAAAGGTTGTGACCAAGTCCCAGGTTGCTGATCAAACTTTCTGCCTCATTTACACACAATTGCAGGGTCTCAATTGATTCTCTTACTTTGACAACACAACATACAAATATTGTTTCACACATCTCTTTTTATTTTATTTTTATTTTTTTATCCTTTATTATTATTATTATTATTATTATTATTATTATTATTATTATTATTATTATTATTATTATTATTATTATTATTATTATTATTATTATTATTATTATTATTATTATTATTATTATTATTAATATATTTTCGTCCCCAGGCTTTGAAGTGGGTCATTGACCTGTGCCCTAGTGGGCTATTTCAGGAAAAAATCCACTAAACTATCATATTTAGCCTGAGGTCGACATGTACAAAAGCCGACTTGCCCCCCAATTATTTTATACATATTTTAATGAGGGGATTCCACCTCTCTGGCCTCTGTTATATACTGTATAGTATTGAAGAGTCGATCTGATTATTTTTAACCAAGAGGCAAGGTCTGCTGTCTGAGAACAATATGTCTCGTGTGGAACAGTAAAATGTTTGTCATAATAGGAAGAGAGAGAGGGAGAAAGAGAGATGAGACACACAAACAACAACTCTGCAAAAACCTTATATCATTATTATGTAAGGGTCGTTCAGCTCTCCCTCTCATCTGGGTGAAAGTAAAGAGTGAGTGTATGAATGTTAGGAGAGGTGAGAGTGAGGTACCAACGTGACCCTGAGTGAGATGCCAATGCGACCCTGATGGTGACCTTGTGACCTTGTTCTCTACCTAAGGGTCACAGTGAAGGTCATCAGCTGTAGGTCCAGGTCAAAGTGTCAGTGTGTGTGTGTGTAATAATGAGGTGAGGTGGAGGAGGCTTGGGGACCTTGTGAGGTGTCGACTGTCTACCTCCCTCACTCCTCCCTCAGTCCAGGTAGACCTTCACTACACCTGTTTTTAGCATTAAACTAACCCTACATTCATACCTCTACCGGTTTATATTAGGTCAACTATATGGTTGGCCTCACATAAAAACGTGTCTAGTGTCCTTATTGAAAGTTTTACTCTCTGTTCGCCTGCGTAAATCTACAAGACGACACACAAAGAACATCTAACCTCGACCAAGACACATAAGTGTGTGTGAAGAACAGTCAATATAACCTTTACTTGAGGTCATAAGAGGGAACACTTTGGAGGTGACTTAGAGTACCTGCAGGGTGATCAAAAACTCCCTGTGTGTGTGTGTGTGTGGGTCACTCCCATAGGTTAATTAAATTCACGTCCCCTGATGGTTGGGGAGAAAGTTATCTAAAATTGTACTCTTCATTCTTCTCTCTTCTCGTCTTCCCATTCTACTGCCTTCCTATCCATCTCCACCTCTTTCTATTTCCCTTTCCTTTATCCTTTTCAACCTGTTCTTTCTCTCTCTCTCCTCACCCTCCTAATTCTTTCCCATCTCTCTTTCAACATCCTTTCATTCCACTTCTCCCCTTCCACACTCTCCCTCCTACCGCCTCCAACACGTGCGAATGTCTGGTCAACAACCGTAACTGTTCCAGGTCACCTCACCTGTCCTCGATTTGGTGGTGCAAGTTATCATAGTGTGTGTGTGTGTGTGTGTGTGTGTGTGTGTGTGTGTGTAATAATAATAATAATAATAAACGGTTTATTAATAGAGTTGCAGCCGGTGGCTGAAAATAGACAGACTTACATTTGATTTAGACATAATGATATAATATGCATTGAATACATTTACAGGGCTGTACAGTACATAAATCAGGAGTTGTTTATTATTTTAACAATAGATGGGATGGTGCTGTTCTTATATCTATCGGAGCGGGCTCTTATGGGCTGTATTTTGTTGTAGTGGCGGACTGCACGAGTTGGGTGGGGGGCTGCAGGTGGCAGGAGGTGGCGATGACGAGGGTGGTGCAGTAGTCCACTGCCAAACCTTTCCAGTGTGTGTGTGTGAGTGTGTGAGTCTACCTGTGGATAGATTAGTTATTTATCTCTCCAGGTCCTGTGTCGCTATTAACAATGTTCCTGTCGGTCAGTCTTATCTCTCTGGGTCTTAGGTCTTGGTATAACATCATATTAATATTTTTATTATATTTTTTCGCCATCACACACTGGACGAGGAGTCCTGGGTGAGTATTGCCCTGTGAGGTGTTTTCTCTCTCTCTCTCTCTCTCTCTCTCTCTCTCTCTCTCTCTCTGGTATCCCTCGTCGGTGCTGAGAATTGTACCAACAATTGACACTGATTTCATTTCTTCCAGAGTACAACAATTTTCTTTGTTGCTTATTTGTTTTTCTTTATTTTTTATTTCGTTGGTGAATACATCAAACTGTTAGGGAAATAGTGAGTCAAGGTTTATACTGTGTAAATGATTTATTTCATTTCATAAATAATAATAGATAGTTTGTTGAGAAAAGAAGATGGGCGGAGCAGTGGGTGGAGGTGACTGGCTGAACGTTCGTCTTGACTCTTAAGTGTCAAGAGTCACTGATCTGCTTATTCTGCCTTGTCGTCCTATTCGTTAGCCTTAGCCTCGTCCTCTAACCTCGCAAATTCAATCTGGTCGAGGACGAACTGGGGGATGGGGTGGGGGAAGGCGGGGGCCACGGGCAGCAGGTCGGACTGGGGCTGGAAACCGTTCTCGTCAGCCACGAACTGGACTGTCGCTACACTGCCGTCCTCCTTGAGGTAGCTGACACAATGTTTGATGTTAGATGAGCTGATGCACAAGACCAATGCTTAAACACAAATACGTATAGTATTATTATTACAAACACAAATGACACAGAGCCTCGCTAACTCACCTCCAGGAGCCGGCCATGTTGGAACCGCCACCAACACCCTCGTTGCCAGCAAACTGGAACTTGATGCCGTTCTCTGCCTCAAAGTCGGAGCTGTGGGCACCGAACTCGTCGGGGTTGACCTGTTGGCTGTGGAGGATGGCGACGGGCGGGTTGGTGAGGGGCAGCTTGTCAGCCACTGCCACAGCAACCACAGCGAGGATCACAGCCTGGAAAGAAGAGAAATATGAAGCAAACTCTCCCTCCACACTTGAGACACACACGTAATCCAGTGCTACTTAACTGAGCAAGAGGAATGACTTGTTTTTTTTAATAAAGAGGAAAATAATAATGCATGAAGAGGAACAAAACAATAACAGTGACGAGAGCAACACAGCTGAGAGAAATTAATAAACCGAATGCAACGAGAGACAGTCACTTAGTAAGCCACATGAGAGGAACTGACAGACACACACCCACACATTCACAATTGCACTCTTACTCAACCCACTCTAACCTAACCTACGATACCAGAATTTATCGTAATGTAAGAGTCAACAATGAGGGTCTGGGTACTATAGGGAGGCAGTCAGTACTCACCAGCTTCATCATGTTGTAGTAGGGGAGTGAGTGTGGTGTACCTCTGACCTGAACCTTATATATATCATCCAGGGTTCCTCAACACCTCAGGGTCATTGCATGTTTTTGGTGGTGGCTACTGGTGAGGTACCCATATTGACTTTCACCCTACACACACACACACACACACACAGACACACACACAGACACACACACACACAGACACACACACAGACACACACACACACGCGCGTAATAAGTTAAGAGTAGAGAGGTTCTTCACAGCTGTTATGTTCTTTGGTCACTTCCGAGTTATTTTTTGTAAGCTTTTCCTCGGGCTGGTGACTACTAAGTGACTGTCTGTGTCTCAGTTGACCCTTCCTCAGGCTTCACCTCCTCACCTCACACAACCGCACCACCACCACCACCACCACCACCACCTCACACCGTGGGAAACACCTCAGACGAGCGCTTCAAACCTCCCTATATTGAACACACATTGAAGTAAAAACAACGATAAAACCACCACCACGAACTCTCTCATTCACGGAGGGTTTTATGTCGTAAAGAAAGTCACTTGTTTACGTCAATTCTAAAAGCATCTGTGTTGAATCCAGATCTCTGACTCACGAACGCTAGTAAAGTGAATACTCCCAGTGAATACAAATGTTAGAACACTTAATAATTCCCGTTGTTGATAGACATGTTAATTTTGGTCTGGTCGTCGTGGTGTTAATCTTATTCTGGAATTACTTGTGACCTCCTGTCTGTGTGTTTGCGTGTCCAGCTTCAAGTAAGATATAATTCCTACCTACCCCCCCCCCTCTCTCTCTCTCATTCCCTCTTTCTCTCCCTCCTCTCTTTCTTCCCCCTTTCTCTTCCTCGACCACTCCCTCTCCGTCCTCCACCTCCCTTTCTCCTTTCCTCTCTCCCTGCCTCCGTCACATCCTCCATTACTATCATTATCACATATGCTAATATTGACCAAGTGACTTTCAACGTCTTTCCTGACCTCGGAGCGTTGGGTCCACCTCACTTGACCTTTTATCGAAGCAGCACAAAAAAAAGGTCTCCCTAAAAAGGTCCTTTAGCCTCTGGGACCTGACTTGGCCTCCCTGCACGACATTCGACGAAGATTGGACACACCTGAAACAACGAGGTAGCGCCACACTAAGCCACTATGACGCTGTAACCGGTGACGACAACCGCCACTACAAAGAGTATCAATCCCTGACTCGATCTCAACAGACTATGTACATGAGACTGCCCCTAGAGTACAGGTACCTATGGGAGTACATTGACAACCCTGAGCCTGGCCGCACTGTTTGTAAACTTTGTGGTCAACCCGACTCTCACACCCTCTCTCACTACATCCTCACTTGCCCTATGACCTCCTCCTACAGGTCCCCAGCCGTCACCGACACCTCGTCCCTCCGTGACCAGATATCCCTCCTCCTAGTGACAGGCCTGGCACTTGACAATATTAGGGACCTGCCACGCTTTGCCATTAACAGATGAAATGTAACGGGAATTTTCCCCCCACACACTCATCATTCTATCACTTTATGTAACTTGTTGACAAAACCCATGACCCTTCAGGCTTTTACGCCCTTAATGCATGAGTCATGAAGGCAAGCATGAACTACGCATGCTTCCCAGATGGCCGCTATAAACGCTTTTGCGCTTCACCTTGCACAGGATGTAAGAGGGTGCCCGATAAACTAGACCCCGTACGGGGCAAATTAAAAAAATTCCCTGCACGACCTCTCCCTACACGACCTCTCCCAAGACGACCATTCCCTACACGACCTCTCATTGTCTTCGTCTTTCTCTTATTCTCTTCCTCTCTCTCTCTCACTCATATCACGTTAAAACGTCTCCTCTCCTTCCGTCTCACCGTCGCCTCACTCCCCACCCTCCGACACCACTAACTGATTCACTGACACCACTAACTGATTCACTGACACCACTAACTGATCCACTTGCACCACTGACTGATCCACTTACACCACTAACTGATCCACTTACACCACTAACTGATCCACTGACACCACTAGCTGATCCACTGACACCACTAACTGATCCACTGATACCACTAACTGATCCACTGATACCACTAACTGATCCACTGACACCACTAACTGATCCACTTACACCATATCCCTGGACTCCCCTGCTTGCTGCTATTACCACTCCTTCATTGACTAACGGAGCAGAAACGTCGACATTAGCGTGTCACTAGCCATGTCTGCCGGCAATCCAAGCTCGAACCCTGACAACCAACACAAGGACATGATGCAGCTTCCACCCTCCCACGCCCTCCTAGGAGTAATACCTTCCTAAGATAAATGCCGACGCCTTCGTAAAATAACATACCACACCTTCGTAAGATAACCGACCATGCCTTCCTAAGATAACAGTCCACGCCCTTCTAAGATAACAGTCCACGCCCTCCTAAGATAATAGTTCACGCCCTCCTAAGATAACAGTCCACGCCCTCCTAAGATAACAGTCCATGCCCTCCTAAAATAACAGTCCACGCCCTCCTAAGATAACAGTCCACGCCCTCCTAAGACACGCCCTCCTAAAATAACAGTCCACGCCCTCCTAAAATAACAGTTCACACCCTCCTAAGATAACAGTCCATGCCCTCCTAAGATAACAGTCCATGCCCTCCTAAAATAACAGTCCACGCCCTCCTAAGATAACAGTCCACGCCCTCCTAAGATAACAGTTCACGCCCTCCTAAGATAACAGTCCACGCCCTCCTAAGATAACAGTCCGCCTCCTAAGATAAACATTCCACGCCCTCCTAAGATAAGTTCACGCCCTCCCAAGATAACAGTCCACGCCTCCCTAAGATAACATTCCACGCCCTCCTAAGATAACAGTTCACGCCTCCAAGATAACAGTCCACGCCCTCCTAAGATAATAGTTCACACCCTCCTAATATATCCGCCCACACCCTTGCGGGACTATAAGTCAGCGTCCTGCCAAGACCTGCTGGAATTAGTTTGTCTGGCATCATTGATTTTAGTGAAGTTGTGTGTGTGTGTGTGTGTGTGTGTGTGTGTGTGTGTGTGTGTGTGTGTGTGTGTGTGTGTGTGTGTGTGTGTGTGTGTGTGATATGTAGGTGGTGAGAGCGATCCCCAAGATTAATTATTGTATTTTCTCTCTCTCTCTCTCTCTCTCTCTCTCGTGATGCTGACCTCAATCATCAGAGACGAGAATGTAAAGGTTGACGGTGTACTGACCCCACAACTGAACCCACCTGGCCAACCGAACCCACCCCCAACTGAACCCACCTGGCCTGAGGGAGAGACAGACAATGGACACATCACAGGGACCTAAGCCTCCCTACCTTATCTTATTATTACATGACACAAGATCGTTTTAATATCTAACACACACACACACACACACACACACACACACATACACACACACACACACACTGACACTGTGACCTGGACCTACAGATGTTGGCCGTGACTGTGACCCAGGAGAGAGAACAAGGTCACAAGGTTACCATCACCCACTTATGTTAGAGTTTAATGAGGCAAACCTTCATACCTTCAGGGACTGAGGTCAAGACTTCAGGGGCGCACTTTTTAATTTTACTTCCCACGCCCACACGCCCACACGCCCACTCTCATCTATCATTTGCTCCCTACCATCTCTTGCACTCACTCTCACGTCTCAAGCCAAAACTCACTTTACACACACACACACACGCCCACACCCACACACCCACACACCCCACCACCCACACCCCCACACCCCACCCACCCCACCCACACCCCCACACACCCCACACCCCCACACCCACACCCCCACACCCACTCTTTCATCTCTCACATCCTGGTTGCGATCTTCTGTGTCTTCTTAAGGTTATTTTCCCTCGCATCTTTTATCATTCTCTGTCTTTGTGTCTGTCTGTTTCATACTGAGAGCTATAAACATCTTCTCTCTCCTCTTTGTCTCTATGCCATTTTATTATGATTTTTTATTTGTGTTATTTTCTCTTTTTCTTTGTACCTCTTTCGTATTGTGGATTTTTTTGTTTTATTTTCCTATTTTTCTCTCTTTTATCTCTTTTTTTTATCTCTTTGTCCCTTTCTCTCTATTTCAGGCTCGCCTTATCAGTAATATTGTTCAGTTATATATTTTTCTGTGATCCGTATTTAGGATGTTTATTTTTTCTCTGTTTTCTCTATCTTTATCCATCTTCTTGTCTCTTTCATTCGTTTATTATTTTTATTTATTTTTTATGTTTGTTCCACTGTGGATATATTCTGTTCCACTGTGGATAAATTTTGTTCCACTGGATAAATTATTCTGTTCCATTGTAAATAAATTTATGCCCGGCGGAGCTTTTACCACGGGGAGACGCGGCCATCAATCGACCGACCACTCCGAGCTCTCCCTGACTACGGGTTGGGTCTCTTGTGTCAAACTGGATAGAGTTAAACGAGGCTTGTAGGGCGAAGGAAGTCCAGAAGTACTTTTACTACTGGCGGTCTTGATAGCGTGGCAACCATTAGAGGAGATAAGAAAAAAACCCCGGAATTAAACCTTTGATGACTTGCGAGATATTGGAATTCCTCAAACACAGAAATGAACTCAGTCTTAAGAGAGAGAGAGAGAGAGGGTACAGTATAAGGTACACAGGGGGGCATACAGTACAGTACCGTTAAATGAACCCGTCGACCCACAACAACTGTACTCTGCTATGCCAGTAGTTCTCCCTTTATGGCAACTGTTGTGTCGGGTCATCACTGAAGCACTTACTCAGGAGACAGGTCCGTAAATCATATTCACAGTACCTTTCACTATTGTTTAGTCACAAGCACAGATACACAAACAGTACAAGGTCAGGAACAGATGTTTGCACGTAACACTACATAAATGCTATTCAGAAGTGTATTTTATTATTATTACACATAAGTTTTGTCTAATGTAGTTTTAAAAATAAAAGTTTGTGTCGATTTTGTATTGATTTCACTTTTGGGTGATAATGAATAAACAAAAAGGTCAAGGTTAAGGAAAACTTGGTTACTGGAATGATTGTTGACGGTCATGAGTAAGGGGGTAAGGAGCGCCCCCTTACGACGTAACCTTGGTCTATCTCTCCCTCCTGGCCCGGGTATATAAGGCGGCTTGACTCACTTACCCTCACACTCACCATCACAACCTTACAACAACATGAAGCTCGTGAGTGCCTCGTGTTGTGGCTGTGCTTTATAATAATACTCCACTTGTTGGGACAGTTCTTAATTGATGACCGTGACTACATTATTATCCACACTACAGCCGCTACATTATTATTTTTCAGTGAGAGGTCAACCCCTGTGAGACCAACTACCCCTTGTCCATTAGTGTAACACATTTAAGTGGGTCGGAGGTTGGCCCCAAAATCCAATCTTCGCGACACCTCTTGGGTGTGTCTTTACAACAAATTTCAGTTCAATATTTCAAAATTGTAGTCTGAGACAGAGAGAAGGGAAACACACACATAAACACAGACTCTGTTCCTTATACACCTGTACATGTTAGTCTCTTGTCACAAATATTAAATTCAAAGCAACAGTCTTTTCAAAGTTGGAATTCAAACCGTATTAACTTACATGATTTGTTATATAAATTAATATTCAAATTTGTTCCAGGCTGTGATCCTCGCTGTGGTTGCTGTGGCACTGGCCGACAAGCTGGCCCCCGTCCCCCTGCCCGTCGCCATCCTCCACAGCCAACAGGTCAACCCCGACGAGTTCGGTGCCCACAGCTCCGACTTTGAGGCAGAGAACGGCATCAAGTTCCAGTTTGCTGGCAACGAGGGTGTTGGTGGCGGTTCCAACATGGCCGGCTCCTGGAGGTGAGTTAGCGAGGCTCTGTGTCATTTGTGTTTGTAATAATAATACTATACGTATTTGTGTTTAAACATTGGTCTTGTGCATCAGCTCATCTAACATCAAACATTGTGTCAGCTACCTCAAGGAGGACGGCAGTGTAGCGACAGTCCAGTTCGTGGCTGACGAGAACGGTTTCCAGCCCCAGTCCGACCTGCTGCCCGTGGCCCCCGCCTTCCCCCACCCCATCCCCCAGTTCGTCCTCGACCAGATCGCCTTCGCTGCTGAGGAAGATAAGCGCAAGGCTCAAGAGGAAGCTCAGTAAGCCTCAGTGAAGTTCCTCTACTGCTCAAGCTGACAGTTTATTTAATGTACAAATTTATTACATTTTGATGTTTAGTAACTACAAATAAATTATATTACATACAACTGAAGTTTCATATCTATCAATCTTTATTTACTGCCTATTGCGGTGACTCCTTCAAGAAATAGTTTCATGACACACACACACACACACCGCTGCTTTCCTCTGCCCTTGCCCATCACCTCTTCCTCCAACCATATGCTACTGAACGTAAAAGCTGTGCTGGAATACTATTTTTATTGCTATTACATTTCCTATTCTCTCAGCATGACCACACCACCTTTACGGACCTTGAACTTCTCCTCTGTTTCAACATCTCCTATTATTGTATTTTCTATTTTGTTTACATCTTAATTACCATAAATATTACTCTCAAAAACGTCATTTATGTCATTCTAAAGATGTTTTTTCTTATATATCCAAAGTCTAAACGTATGGGTGTGGGATCCCTGGGTCAGTGTAAGGGAGGCACATTGTATACTAAACCTTTTATACACAAGGAGATAGTGAGGCAAATAATGTATACAAACATCTTCACTACCTTGATTATGGGATGAGCTGGGGTGGGGGGTTATTCTGGGACAAACCACCTATCCTTAGGACTAGAGTCGAGTATAGTATCCACTCGACCACCGCTCTTATTACCCATTAACACAGTGAACAGTAAAGACTTTATATATGACTGATATATTTCTATTTACTTTGAAGTCTATTTATTTTATCTTTTCTTTACACATCCTAACATTTGCTTCTCTAAACACCATCAGTACCTCCCACTTTAACTTCCTACCAAATGTTTTCCAATTTACAGATACTAAAAATTCTTCCTCTTCTATATAGTGTTCATTCCTCTTTGCTAATACAAACACTTATTTAATACATTTTCTTCTTTCCTTAACTTACGCCAACATCTATTTAACTAATTTACAACAGTTCTCGCTCATTAATATGTATTCCCTTATATCAATACGAACACTGTGACTCCTGTTGTCTCGGTAGGGTTGTCAAAATCCTTCGTCCGTTGTGTCATATTGCCTCACTGAAAATCGCAAGGAATTCTGTTTACAGTTTCGTCAACATAAGTGTCAATAAATCGTTAGGGAAATCTATTAATACGCATTAGGAAGGGAAGGGGAAGGCAGGGGAGGGCAGGGCAAGGCAGGGTGGGGCAGGGGAGGGCAGGACAAGGCAGGGCGGGGCAGGGTAGGGCAGGGCAGGGCAGGGCAGGGCAAGGCAGGGCGGGGCAGCTCTTCCCTATGATCTACACTACACCCACTACGCTATCCTTGGTTAAAATTAAGCGCACATGCAAAGATAACTAAACTCTATTTCATCTCTATGGTAAAAACTATGGCTGTTCACTGTGGGGGCGGTGGGATGGAGGGGGGGGGGTGGATGGGGGTGGAGGGGAGTGGAGGGGTTAGGAGGTCACTTTTAGTTGGGGCTCGACCGTCTCCTTTCTCCCTACTTAGATGTGCTTTAATGAGGCGGTTCAACTTTGGGAGTGTGGGAGTCTTACCTATGTGTGTGTGTGTGTGTGTGTGTGTGTGTGTGTGTGTGTGTGTGAATACCAAATTTCACCTCGTGGTGTATAGCGATCAGACAAACAAATAAGCAGACACACACACACACACACACACACACACACACACACACACACATAATACAGCTATTTGCACCTGGTCAATCAAAGCCCTGTCACGTGATTATGTGTGTTTCTCATGTGCCATTCTTATCCACTGAGCTACACCTTAGCTACACATAGCTACACCTAGCTACACCTGGCTACAGCTGAACTACACCTGAGCTATACCTATTTACACCTGAACTACACCTGAGCTATACCTGAGCTACATCTGAGCTAATACCTGAACTACACATGAGCTACACCTGAGCTAACACCTGGCTACACGTGAGTTACATCTAGCTACACCCAAGTTACACCTGAGCTACACCTGAACTACATCTGAGATACACCTGGCTACACCTGAACTACACCTGGCTACACCTGAGCTACACCTGGCTACACCTGAGCTACACCTATCTACACCTGAGCTACACCTGGCTACACCTGAGCTACGCCTGTCTACATCTGAGCACCTGAGTTACACCTGGCTACACCTGAGCACCTGAGCACCTGAGTTACACCTGGCTACACCTGAGCACCTGAGTTACACCTGGCTACACCTGAGCACCTGAGTTACACCTGGCTACACCTGAGCACCTGAGTTACACCTGGCTACACTTAAGCTGCACAACAACCAGTATCATAATCAAAGCACCGCCTCACTCAGCAGCTTTTTGTTAACTATTATCACACGAAGTATTTATGAGGCGTCGCGACCCAGCCAACACCTGCTGCCTGACCTTCCGCTTCTTGTTGCCAGTCAGTGTCAGGCATCTTGACCCCCCGGGCACTCTTACCTTACGCTGTTGCCAGGGTCACGCCTCTCTGGTGCTGTGAGGGCGTCCATTTATGCCACCTTTACACGGCAACACAACACCAGTCATTTACCTGAGTCATTCATTTATGGTGAATGATGATGATGTATAATGAGGGAAGTGTGTGTGTGTGTGTGTGTGTGTGTGTGGAGGGAGTGACTACAGATATTCCCAGCTCAGTCTTTCTGAAGGTGTTGTGGGTGGTTTATAACTTCTACTACTACTACTACCAATAATATTACTACTACTACTGCTACTAATACTACTGCTACTACTTTACGTGGCCTCCATCCTCCCCCTATAGCCACACCTTCGCCGCCATTTTATTACCTTAATATTAAATATCCTAATACATAAGTAGCTACCCTAGCTGTGTTGAGTTAGTTGAGCCGCAGATCTATGCGGCATTCAGTGACTGTTGCCTCATAGTCAATATCTGCAGCTGTTGTCGGCTTTTGGGCAAATGCTCTCGTTCCCCTGAGGCAAAGCAATGCAGACCTAAGCGGAGAGAAGGACAGTCGACATCTCAACCAGGCTGTAACATAACTTCTGGGCTGCTGCTTCCGTTCAGATAATACCTCCGCGAGTCTAGCGTAGAAGCATCTTGCACTTGGTCCCATCCCGCCAGAGGTTGTGAACACCAGAGGAGTGAAGCTGCCTTGATCAACGTTCTGAATTCTCTCCCCATATGCCCTAATCTTGTCGTTTTTGTTCCTCCAGTTTGCAGCATCGAGAGCTAGGTTGCGGTGACATGCGGCCATGGGATAAAAAATCCTTATGTCTAAAAAGGGTCGCTGCCCCCGCGTCCAGAATCCTCGACCACTGACGTCCACACGGGCTTCGTTGGATGTGTTTGAAGTCCTGTGACGGAGGTTCTCACCATCCAATGGAAGGAGGCGCGGTTCCACCATGACATCGTGGCAGATTTCCTTCAGTAGATTTGCTGTTAGGTCCCTTACTTCGTCATGTCTCTTGCATACGAAGCCCCCTTTCTTGTACACCATGGCGTGGTCGATGTCATAAGAAGAGCCGCACACCCATTAGGAGGCCAAACCTTCTACTGGCCTACCGCATCTTAGAGCAATGACATCTGTGAATTCTTGTTTATTAAGGATGAAGGCTTTTGCCCTTATCGGTAACGTTGTTAGCCAGTTTGAGGCGCCCACCTCCTGCGCTATAGCTACTTTTCTTTTCACGTTCTCTGGCATTTGTTGCAACAGTTGTTGCAGTTTATCACTTTGGTTGTGCTGCCGCTCTGTCGTAATGGACCGTCGAATCTTGTTTAATTCGTTGGTATCCACCTGACTTGCTGCATTCTGATCTATTATGTGTTCAGTGAGAGCTGCAGTGAGCTTCACGGAGTTCTGATGTTCTGTACGGGCAAGCTCCACTGGATTAGTCAATCCTATTTTACTACTACTACTACTAATACGTTATAATAATAGTAATAATAATAATAATAATAATAATAATAATAATAATAATAATAATAATAATAATAATAATAATAATAATAATAATAATAATAATAATAATAATATTAATAATAATAATAATAATATAATAATAATAAGTTATTCTTTGGACAGTAAAAGTACCTCTTATCTTAAGCTGCTTTATTAAGTCGTTTCCTGTGACTAATAAATAAAGGTTATAAATAAGTTATGTTATGCAAGACAAATCTGATCGTTCTTAAACAGGACTGAATGGGGTCCTTATAATCTTGAGCTTCAGAGGGATATTTATAGAACAATATTAACTCTCCTCTTGAGCCTTGCGTTCCTTCTCAGCCTCAGCGAAGGCGATCTGGTCGAGGACGAACTGGGGGATGGGGTGGGGGAAGGCGGGGGCCACGGGCAGCAGGTCGGACTGGGGCTGGAAACCGTTCTCGTCAGCCACGAACTGGACTGTCGCTAAACTGCCGTCCTCCTGGAGGTAGCTGGAAGGAGATTATTAGTGTTATTATAGAAATAAACCGGTCCTAAACCTTCAGTGTGTGTGTCTGTGCATGAAACTTATTATTATTTTTATTTGTATGTTAGAAAAAGGACTTGTTGAACTTGAAACTTATCCATGACCGTAACTTGTTTCATTAGCGAGAACATTTAAGCACAACAAGAGGAAGGAAGGGAAGTCTGAGTGACACCTGAAGAACTACAGAATTAGTCGAAAAAGTTTGATAGATAAAGTTTCCATTAAACACTACAGCCTTGCAAACAGTACACAACTGATACCAGAAGATGGGCATACAGTATTAAGACAACTTTATTCTGTTTACAAACTCTGCCAAGTGATTAACTGACTCACCTCCAAGAACCGATCATGTTGGAGCCTCCTGTGGCTCCCTGAGACCCAGAAAACTGGAACTTGATGCCGTTCTCTGCCTCAAAGTCGGAGCTGTGGGCACCGAACTCGTCGGGGTTGACCTGTTGGCTGCGGAGGATGGCGACGGGCAGGGGGACGGGGGCCACCGTCTCTTCTGCCACAGCCACAGCAACCAGGGCGAGGATCACAGCCTGGAATAATCATAATCATCCATCATTGACTATTAAAACTGGTTTTGGGTCTTCTATGACTTTTTCCTGCAAAATCAAGTTTTTGGTAGATAAATCAGTTCCTCGTGTTAAACAGAAGCTTCTGTGGAGGAGGTTAGAGATACTCACGAGCTTCATGTTGTCAAGTTGTGAGTGTGAATGAGGATAGAGGTGTCTGACGGCCTTATATACCTGGCCAGGCTACAAGGTCACTCTGCAGTCGCTTAGAAGGGTGTCCTACAACTCTGAGTCCTAGACCTCGAACTTTTTTCTCTCTGATACAAGTTTGTGGTTTTGATTGTCAGGTGGTAGCACCCGAGAGTCGGCGGTTAATTATCTCTGAGTGGAAGCTGAATAATATACTTGTTCCTTACATACATAAAATCTACATAATGTATATGTAAATTGGTTAGTCATCAGCGTCAGAATCTGAATAAGTATTTTGTTCATAAATATCAAAACAGGTAAAAATTTAGGCAATGGGTACAGGTAGAGTAATTAATGAGTGGCGAGAGTCGTACAACACAGACGGGTCGTTGTTGTGTGGACAGTACAGCGGTGGACATTTAACATATCAACCTTCTTATTGTGCAACCTAACACCTCTCGTGTGCCTCACAGGTTCGGTGTTTTACTACAACTGATGACCAAAATCTTATAAAACTGAGGCCCGCGTGAGAGACACGAAGCTTCAGGTCTAATAAACAAACAACACAATAATTAAGACACTTATACAACACAGTTTTGGTTGATATATTGATGTTGCTAAGAGCAATAATAGTGTTGACAGTATCACACCTGTAAGTAATATTAGCAAATGAAAACCATCCACTGAAATTTACAGAGATGGAGTCAGTCATCTCTACAGGTGTGAGCCATTTAATCAACTCCACAGGTGTGTAGTAATTTACTCATTTCTACAGGTAGGTGACCTCGTTGTCTTTCTAATTTATCAAACGTCTAGTCATATCTGCGCCTGACATAAGAACATAAGAACATAAGAACATAAGAATGGAGGAAACTGCAGCGGGCCTATTGGCCCATACTGGGCAGTCCCATTTACACCCAACCCCTATCGCTCATATAACCATCCAACCTGTGTTTGAAGCTATCCAGCGTATTCGAGTTAATGATGATATTTGGTAACTTGTTCCACTCATCCACTACTCTACTTCCAAACCAGTGTTTACCTATTTCGCGCCTAAATCTAAATTTGTCTAATAACCATTGTTACGAGTTTTTGCTCCTGGTTGGACAGTCTGAGTACCTTTGCTTAGCCCTGACTTGGATTCATATGCAAATGCATTTTCACTTACAATTAATAATGCTGCAGTTATATTTGCATATAAATGTTGAATTATCACCTAATCTACATATACACTTACGCTTGAATATAAAACACTTGAATTTGTATCTTATTTTCATCTGCAAATTTCAATTCTGCTTCTGCTCTTACACTAATGATAATATCTGACCAGGTGAGTGGACACTGGCCACCTGTGTCACCTGTACCTATAATGGTGACCGCGACTGAGAGGATTATCCCAGCTCCCACCTCATCCCGGCCCAGAGGATGTTTGGGACACCTGGCTGTGTTGTATAACATTTACATTTTATTAATTCAAAACATTTTAATTTGTATTTTGAGGCAAAAACCTTTTATACGGGCGTGTTGTCATCCGGTCATCTCTTCCTCTGTCGGGTTATATAGAGTGTCCTTGTGCGTGTGTTATCTTCTAGCTCCTTCTACACACACGCACACACACATACACACACACACACACACACACACACTACATAGAACCTTCACCTTATTAACCATGAATTAACTATCTTTATTTATCATAGCTGCAGCTAATACACTGAGTTACAGGACCAACCGTGATACACTGAGTTACAGACCAAGTGATACACCAACCGTGATACACTGAGTTACAGGACCAACCGTGATACACTGAGTTACAGGACCAACCGTGATACACTGAGTTACAGGACCAACCGTGATACACTGAGTTACAGGACCAACCGTGATACACTGAGTTACAGGACCAACCGTGATACACTGAGTTACAGGACCAACCGTGATACACTGAGTTACAGGACCAACCGTGATACACTGAGTTACAGGACCAACCGTGATACACTGAGTTACAGGACCAACCGTGATACACTGAGTGACAGGACCAACCGTGATACACTGAGTTACAGGACCAACCGTGATACACTGAGTTACAGGATCAACCGTGATACACTGAGTTACAGGATCAACCGTGATACTGAGCAGCTACTAAAGGTGTGAACTCTGGGTGTCGTATAGTCTTCTTGTTGTTGGATCTGAAAATGTTTGTACAAAATATGTGTTTCCTTAGTAAGTATTTATGTAGAAATTGGAAGTTGTGGTCTTATAAAAGTCTGGAACTGTAGACTAAAGGAGAGAGAGAGAGAGAGAGAGAGTGTGTGTGTGTGTCGGTGTGTGTGTGTGTGTGTGTGTGTGTGTGTATGTGTGTGTGTGTGTGTGTGTGTGTGTGTATACTATAGAAAAGAATCATGTGCTCATTCTCACTCTGTCATTTTTTACACAATCCCTTTTAACGCACCGGAAAAAAAAAATTTATCAGCTAAAAATCATTGTAAGTTTATTTGTTTTTGGTCTCTTGTGCTGAATAAAAATAATTCTTTTGATTCCTAGGATTTTTATTTACAATCAACAAGACATTTATTCATAAATTAAAATATAAATAATGTCATTAATCAGACATCACTGACAAATGCTTCATTACATCATTCTTTAGAAAAATTTAAGAGTTAGGAGAGTTCAGATACAGGGACAGATTTTTTCTAGACACTTCTAATTGTCCTCTTCAGCCTTGCGTTTATTCTCTTCTTCAGCGAAGGCGATCTGGTCGAGGACGAACTGGGGGATGGGGTGGGGGAAGGCGGGGGCCACGGGCAGCAGGTCGGACTGGGGCTGGAAACCGTTCTCGTCAGCCACGAACTGGACTGACGCTACACTGCCGTCCTCCTGGAGGTAGCTGAGAACAGATATTATCATTAAATATCAAAATATCATCAGTAGTGGTAATGTGTAGTAAGACTTTTATCAATAAAGGGAGGCGATTATTAATGCTCGTGTATAGACGTCAATACAGTACAGTACTACTCCTTGTACACTGAGTTCGTGGCTCACCTGTTAGCTGTTTCGACTATTGCCATCTGGCTGGTGAACGACATATAAAGATATAAAGAGAGACGCCTCAGTTTCTTTATGTACGTGATGAGATACTGTATGGCTAAACACTTATTTTTCAACTTTTTTCTTAGGTCACCAGCCAAACTGTGTGTAGGGGACCACACTTAGGTAATATAAACAAGAACAATATCAACTAAATTCAGGTTTACAAACTCTGCCAAGTGATGAACTGACTCACCTCCAAGAGCCGATCATGTTGGAGCCTCCTGTGGCTCCCTGAGACCCAGAAAACTGGAACTGGATGCCGTTCTCTGCCTCAAAGTCGGAGCTGTGGGCACCGAACTCGTCGGGGTTGACCTGTTGGCTGCGGAGGATGGCGACGGGCAGGGGGACGGGGGCCAGTTTGTCGGCCAGTGCCACAGCAACCACAGCGAGGATCACAGCCTGGAACAGATAATGTCTATATAACTTAAATGTTCCAAGAATATTATCACCAGGACATTATAAGTGAATTCTCTGAGTAGTTAAACACTATCGTCAGTTCTACAGCTTCACATCTGACCAACTCACAGTCTTCATGTTGTCAAGTTGTGAGTACTTGTGTGTTGGGAGAAGGTGAAGCTGGAGTCTTATATATGGCTGGTGAGGTCGTCGAGGCGAGGTCAAGTGGACACAGGCTGGGAAGGTTGCCCCGTGTCCTGCTGACCTACACACATTCAACACTAAGCTAGACCGGTCCACGCCCAGCCTCTATCGCTTAATCGCTCTTTTTGGCGTATATGATTTGGCCTTCACGAATATTGACTTAAAACCATCACAGTTTTGATTATTTCTCTCTCTCTCTGTCTGTCTGTCTGTCTGTCTGTTTGTCTATATCGAAATGTATAATAAATCGACCTCAGGGAGACCAAAATATTATCCGAACAAAAAAAAAAAACACAGTCATTATCACACTTCTTGCTTCTAAATCACTCTGTGTGTGAGAGACGATGAGCCTGACAGCTTCTTGGTCCTGAACAATGAAAGGCGACACAGCACACGACCGGGACATAATGGATAAGGAGGAAAATAACACGAAAAGGGTTTAGACGTGGTGGAAACTTTCTCAACCAAACTTTAAGCCTACCAAATCCTTTATAGAGTGTGATGGCGAGATAACAGAGGGTTGGATTAAAAGGCTGATGCAACACACGCAAAAAAGCGCTAAAGGGCGTGGCTATGACACCAACAGGATCGTAAGAAAGAGACTATCACTTAAAGGTCGTTCTTCGTGTGTAAAGATCTCTGTAATGGAGTGGGGTGAAGTTCATAAAGATTCTGATAAGTAAAGGCTACAGAAGGAGGGAGAGTGACACCAGCAGGAGTGACAGGAGGTGAAATGTACTCAAGTGTTCTTTCTCGGGTCTCCTTCAGGGGCTAAGATGAAGCTCTTCTACTCTAAATATTATAGGGAAGTCAGAAAGCCTGGTAAGCGTATGTAAGTCTAGGGAACACACACACCATTTATTCCCCTGTTCATCTGTGTTACCAAGGATACGAGACGGAGGAACCTAACTGAACATTCTGGTTAAAGTTTGTCCTTCAAGTCCACACACTCGAGGGGGAGAGGAGGAACACCGACGCCTTAGGAAGAACAGTTCCCTCCAACCCCACGCTGAGACACTGCCAGTAGAAAGTATGTGACAGTGACGCTGAGACACTGTGACAGAAACAAGTCCGTGGTGGTCGTGTTCCTTCTGAAGGGGGGAGAGAGAGAGAGAGAGGGGGGGGCCTTTACCCTTAGAGTGAGAGATAACATCAGACGGTCAGACAGATAAGCCTAGACCCCTAAGAACAAACAAGTCTGAACCGCAACCAAAGTGAATATAAACAGATAAGCCAACACCACCACATAAAAACTCTGCCAAAACTCATAAAAAAAATCACGATCTTGTGTTTGTTTTGACCTTTTCCAACATATCGCGCCTCTATGGTAATATTACATTACTTTCCATGATTTAACGGAACTTACCAAAGTTAAGCAGCGTTCCAAGTGTGTGTGTGTGTGTGTGTGTGTGTGTGTGTGTGTGTGTGTGTGTGTGTGTGTGTGTCGCCAGGATGTTCAGAAATTAAACCAACTAACCACGCACTGTGGAATTCAGGATTTCATTCCGCGTTGCTGATGATATTCTGCCTCCTACCTCGCCCGCCTGAAGGTCAAGTTGTGTTCTGAAGCTGAGAACATTAATGTATAATATCGTGACCTCTCCTGTATGCCGTAGCCCGTTCAGAAAGGCATTAATTTGGTATAGCTATATTTACTTGTTAAACTTTAGGAGAACAAAAGTCTTAAAAATAAGAAAAACACCATCGCGATCTCTTGTCATAGTTCCAAGAGAAAGAGACATACATACATACATACATACATACATACATACATACATATGTTGTGGAACTATCTATTGACCATTTTCAGGGTAGTTTACGTGAGGTTAGGTTAGGTTAGGTTAAGTGAGTCTAGGTGTTAATTAGACTGATTTATACTTATACTGATTGTCTTTATGTCTCTACTTACGTCGATTTTCAAATACAGAATGAAAAAAAAACTGATCTGTACTCATCTAATAAAGTACATTTAAAATTGTATTATTTTGTTTTATAATTTTATCACACATACACATCAGCTAGTTTATGGTGCACCCTTTGTTTATCCTAGGGGCGGTAGCACAAAGAGGATTACGGAGCGGAGGTGACAAAAGGGTATTCATTAGACCTCCAGTGACAAGGTTATTGTGGTGTTGAATAATACGGTGCAGTACATTGCTTGTTTAGTTGTGTACACAGAAGTTTACCTGGGTAGTGGTGGCCGTACCAGGTGTATTCTCAGTATAGATGCCTCGGTGATGAAAGGGTTGGCAGCGGGAGGGGGGAGGCGGGAGGAAGTGGGGGGGGGGGGGGGGGGGGGTAACTGAGGGAAATATATGATGGGAAGGAGATTTTAGTTACTGGCTGGGTGTATAAATTTAAGAACAATGATAGATAATGTTGTGGCTCAGATGGTGGAGGTGTTGATGATGGGGAACACTTGGTAAAATAAAAGTGTGAAATATATATATAACATGGGGATGAGGAAAGGATTCTTATGATAAGGTTTTACAGAGAACTTGTGAACTAAAGTAAATGTGACGACCTGAGTTAAAGGTAAAAATAAAGAAGTATATTTCAAATTATGAAAAATCAGAACAACATCGATATCTATATTCTTAAGGTGTTATCTCTCCCGTATTAGATAACAAAGCTACACAAGTCTATAAGCAGAGATTACCTTACCTTCCACCTTGAGTAATTACCGTTCTGCCAGGTGATCTGTTCCTTATTATATCATTGACATACAGACACCAACTAGGAGCAGGTACAGAGACTTTACTCTAGCCTGGAGCCTACACTAGCAGGATCTGTCATATGAGGAGAGCCTAAACGAGACTCTAGAGAGGTTGGGAGTCTTATTGTTTAGAGTCAAGGCTCCTCACCTGAACGCCCTCTGAGGTGTTCTTTACCTCTCCGCTTCACCAAAAGTTACAACCGGCTTACACTACACACACACTGAAGTCTCTACGTCACAGTGGCTGAAGCAGAACCCTTTGATAATCTTAACTGTCCTGTTTGGTTAGATTTTACAATAAGATAAGTTAAGATATCAATATTTTAAGTAGTAAAAAGGCAGAGATAAAAATTCCCTTATATGAAGTTTGATTGTGAAAATGTCCTTATGTAGCTACTGAAGGCTACACGTCTTCAAGGCTACACGTCCTCAAGGCTACACGTCCTCAAGGCTACACGTCCTCAAGGCTACACGTCCTCAGAGCTACACGTCCTCAGGGTTACACGTCTTCAAGGCTACACGTCCTCAAGGCTACACGTCCTCAAGTCTACACGTCGTCAAGGTTACACGTCCTCAAGGCTACACGTCCTCAGAGCTACACGTCCTCAGGGTTATACGTCTTCAAGGCTACACGTCTTCAAGGCTACACGTCCTCTAGGCTACACGTCTTCAAGGCTACACGTCCTCAGGGCTACACGTCTTCAAGGCTACACGTCCTCTAGGCTACACGTCCTCAAGGCTACACGTTTTCAAGGCTACACGTCTTCAAGGCTACACGTCCTCTAGGCTACACGTCCACAAGGCTACACGTCCTCAAGGCTACACGTCTTTAAGGCCACCAGAAAAAGCCCTGAATCAACACTAGCGTTCTACTTGGTTAGGTTAGATTAGGTTAGGCTGGGAATTTGTATATAATATAAAACTTAATTTCCCATTTCCTTTACTAATAAAACGAAGGAAATGGGGTTTACTTTCCATTTCCCCATTCCAGTTTCAATTTAATAATAGACAAAATAATCTAAATCTTGTTATCGAAATTCTCAAAGGCTTCTCATCTCTCACCCCCAAACAAACACAGGCATCAGCCATAAGTCTGAATCAACACAGATCACAAGACTTAATCTGAGATGGTAAGTAACACTCCGATTACTCCATAGAAAACGTAATATATACCAGAATTTATTTGTGTTGACGTGACATATTCTCCCTCACGTGAAGTACACAATGTTACGTTAATTCTCTCTCAGTGTTCCTCCTTCTCTCCTTCCCTCCCTCTCTCCCTCCCTCCTTCCCTCCCTCTCAGTTCATCACTCCCTTCTTCCCTGTGTGTGTGTTGGCCATGAAGCTCGCCACGGTGAAAATCCTCCTTTGTGTCAATTCAGAACCTCACTCCTCTTCTCATTCTCTTTCTCTCCCTCTCTTCCCTGTCTCTCTTTCTCTCCCTCTCCCCTGTCTCTCTTGTATTCCTCTCTCTCTCTCTGACTGTGTATCTGTCTGTTAGTTTGTCCTACATGTCTCTCTTTCTCTCTTATCTTTATCTTTCACATCTTTAGCCTTTTTTTTTATGAATCAGTTCCTCCCCCCCCCACCAGGCACACACACACACACACACACACATACACACACACACACACACACACACACACACATACACACACACACACACACACACACACACACACACACACACACACACACACACACACACACCACAACTGCTCTCTTTCGCGGCTTGTGACCTCAGGCACCCTAAACTCGTGCGGCCTTAATTAGGATAATCATTCTGGTTGATCTCTGGTCCTAAAAGGTGAGTCGGGTGTTTCCAGTAATTCTCACTTAACCTAACCTAACCTAACCTAACCTAACCTAACCTTATCTAACCTAAGAGCCTATGATAGCGATCCGAGGCTCTCCACATTATCTGAGTATGTCATTCTCAAGTCAACACCGCCGCCATCTTGTCACCCAGTCAACATCGCCGCCATCTTGTTACCCAGTGAACACCGCCGCCATCTTGTCCTTCGGTCATCATTCACGGAGGAACAAAAAAAAAGGAATGATAGTAAAAATTGTCACGAACCGAACCCCGACCACAGCTAAAGGGGTCCCTGAATGAATCGGTTTGTTTCTGTGCCAACTGGACCGAGGAACTAAGACACAGGTGGTCGTCAAGATGTAAGGCTCATCACCACCTGCACACACCCTCACCACCGCCACCACCTGCTCACACCTCCACCACCGCCGCCACCTGCCCACACCCCTACCACCCCACCACCTGCCTCCACCTGCTCACACCTCCACCACCACCACCACCACCTGCCCACACCACCACCACAACTTGCCCACATCTCCCCCACCACCACCTGCCCACACCCCCACCACTACCACCACCACCACACCTTGCTGGGAGATATTTATGGTATTTTATTGACCATTTCACCATCTGTCATCTGTTCAGGTCACTCTGTTTGACCAGTGTTAGTACAAGAGGAAACTGAAACACCTGGAGGAAACCTGTGGTGTTTGATAGTGGTGAAGCAGGACTCGAACCCTTGACATAGTAGTGAGAGGTACGCGAGTTACTGTTGTACCAATTTCGTGAAGGGTGGGTGGCTGTCTGAATGGCTGGGTGGCTGGTTGGCTGTCTGGGTGGCTGTCTGGGCTGGCTGTCTGGGTGGCTGTCTGGCCGCTTGTCTGAACGGGTGTCTGGTTGGCTGGCTTCTCTTTCTACCTCTGTAAGCAACATCGTAACCTCAGAGCCCACAGTCTTGTAGTAAAGCTGGTGGAGAGGCAATATGTGACCTGCCCCTCGGTATGAGCCAGCACTTGTGACCGACTTCCCGGCTCACTGTAGACTCCAAGTGGTTCCAAAAATAGACATTACAATTTTTAAGACCAGACATAACCGTAAGATAGTATAATATGTCTGTTTTTTTACTTATTTGGTTACTATACTCGAGTCATAGTGAAGATAGAAAAGAAATATAGTAAGTTTGTATTAGTTTTGCCATTACGTGTTGTGTATAAATGTGTTTAACTTCAGTACACTATTTTAGTCAAGAATTAATACAGTTTCTCCTCATATGTACGTTTTCTCAGTTGCTTAGTCTCATCTTTTTTTTATCAATAGGTTTCTTTGTATTTTTACTTTCTCGTATTATTACTCTATGGTTTATTTAACTTTCAATACTTACTTGTCTTAATTCCTTTACGGCATAAACCTAACCTACCCACACTTGTCGCTATAAGGAAAAAAAAACTAATTGCTTAATATTTTATTGATTCATTCAGATAATGACCCAACACTACTCTTCCTTGGGTCTCTTACAGTAAAGACTTACGCCCGTATTATTAAACAACATCTTCCCCTGAAGAGGGTCGTCGTGTTTCAACCCGAGTTTTAAACTAAATGAGTCCTGAGGGACACCGCAGTACTGTACTTAACGGGGTGGTGTGGCCTTATATCTATCTACCTGACTTGAAGGACGCTTAGACTTTTATACCGTTTGATAACAGGCTCAGCAGCAAGACGCATCTCTCTCACAGGTCACCGGGCAGGTAAACTTTACAGTACTGCTAAAGGACAAACTTCAAGGTTACTCGGTGTGTAAGGAACCATCGGTGGTCAACCCATACACTGACCTCGGGCGACCCCTCACTGCCTGGCCGGGTATATAAGGCGGCCGGACACCTCCACCCTCACACTCACCATCACAACCTACACCATGAAGCTCGTGAGTACATTTATAAACACTTCAAGTTGGTGATATGTAAAGACTGTTGAAATTAAGTTTGCTTTAGTACCAATATCCAGCTTTCCTCGGTTCAAATTTTACCAAATAATCGAATGATATTTAGTTAACTTTATATAGAAGACTAAAACTATTATATTCCAGGCTGTGATCCTCGCCCTGGTTGCTGTAGCTGTGGCCGACAAGCTGGCCCCCGTCCCCCTGCCCGTCGCCATCCTCCGCAGCCAACAGGTCAACCCCGACGAGTTCGGTGCCCACAGCTCCGACTTTGAGGCAGAGAACGGCATCCAGTTCCAGTTTGCTGGCAACGAGGGTGTTGGTGGCGGTTCCAACATGGCCGGCTCCTGGAGGTGAGTTAGCGAGGCTCTGTGTCATTTGTGTTTGTAATAATAATACTATACGTATTTGTGTTTAAACATTGGTCTTGTGCATCAGCTCATCTAACATCAAACATTGTGTCAGCTACCTCCAGGAGGACGGCAGTGTAGCGACAGTCCAGTTCGTGGCTGACGAGAACGGTTTCCAGCCCCAGTCCGACCTGCTGCCCGTGGCCCCCGCCTTCCCCCACCCCATCCCCCAGTTCGTCCTCGACCAGATCGCCTTCGCTGCTGAGGAAGATAAGCGCAAGGCTAAAGTAGGTGAAGCCGCAGCCACTGAATAAGACCTCGTATACTGGAGGACCTGTAAGCTGTCATAGATTCATTGAAGTGTATGACTGACTGTACAAATGTTACTGTGTAGGAATGTTGAGTGTATTTAATGATATGATGCTAATGCTACATATGCGAGGTATACTGTATTTGTAAATAGTGTGCAAATAAATTAAAACTTAGCTACCAACACAAGTATATTTCCCCCCATATGAATTTACATAATTGTTTATTATAGAAATTGATGAATACTCTTGCCACCAAGTAAAATATTGTTATTATAAAAATTAGTTTACAAAGATCCCAGCTGACCCTGTGCCTTATGAAGGACCTGACACTACGAGAAAGATTCAGACACCGACTGTTTCTGAAGGTACGACCGGGACAGGTGGGGTGGTGTTACAATCATTGGTGGTGACAGTCACAAACAATCAGTGGTGGTGACAGTTACAAACAATCAGTGGTGGTGACAGTCACAAACAATTAGTGGTGGTGACAGTCACAAACAATCAGTGGTGGTGACAGTTACAAACAATCAGTGGTGGTGACAGTCACAAACAATCAGTGGTGGTGACAGTTACAAACAATCAGTGGTGGTGACAGTCACAAACAATTAGTGGTGGTGACAGTCACAAACAATCAGTGGTGGTGACAGTCACAAACAATCAGTGGTGGTGACGAGCACAAACAATCAGTGGTGGTGACAAACAATCGAGTGGTGGTGACAGTTACAAACAATCAGTGGTGGTGACAGTCACAAACAATCAGTGGTGGTGACAGTCACAAACAATCAGTGGTGGTGACAGGCACAAACAATCAGTGGTGGTGACAGGATCAGTTTGCTCCTTTTAAGAATCTCCACCTCAACTCCCTCCACCTGAAGATACTCCACCCCAGTTTTCTCCACCCCAGTTCCCTCCACCCCAGTTCTCTCCACCCCAGTTCCCTCCACCCCAGTTTCCTCCACCCCAGTTCCCTCCATAGCAGCTCCCTCCACCTGAAGAATATCTCACTACACATTATTGTTTTGCGGTCAATAGCTTCTCGGATACAAAGTGCAAGACTATATTGAGTGTTTCATAATATTTATAGGTCGTTTTCCCCTTTACAGTGTTGTGTAAATATTGCAGTGGAGTGAAGCGTAGGGGGAGGATATCTGGTAAGACTTGAAGATAGGGGTCCCACCTTAGCAGCTACCTAACGAAAATTCTCTATTGAATCCTTGTAAAAAGCATTCCTCCTACACCTTTTTGTTGTGTGTTTCTGGGGGTAATAAACTTTTTTATCCTCGCAGGCAAAATTTCGTCAGGTTGATGCTAAGGCTGGATACTGAGTCTGTCTATGTACAAGATCCAGTGTAGTATTAGTTGTAGATCTGGCTATATCAATTTATTTATTTTATTTTTACTGGTGACACTTCACAATACGCCGAGTGTATCAAGTGAATGAACTCAGAGATTTAACTTTCACTGCCCTTGTCATCCTTCACAAATATAACCTCTCACCTCTGGCGCTTTTTTCAACGCTCAGATCCCTTGATCAGCTGCAGTAAATCACACATATATGAACACATTTTACCACTCTCAGGTTCATGCAACACATTTCAACAATTAAAATGGGAGGGTATATTTAGATCCAGTATTGAGTAAAGTTTTCATATATTTGTACACCACATACAAGTGCTATACTGCTTTCATACATCAGACTTAACATAAATACACTCAACATTACCACATAGTAACATTTGCACATTGAGTCGTACACTCCAAGGAATCTATGACAGGTTACAGTTCCTCCAGTGTACGAGGTCCTACTCAGTGGCTGCGGCTTCACCTTATTCAGCCTTGAGCTTATCTTCTTCAGCAGCGAAGGCGATCTGGTCGAGGACGAACTGGGGGATGGGGTGGGGGAAGGCGGGGGCCACGGGCAGCAGGTCGGACTGGGGCTGGAAACCGTTCTCGTCAGCCACGAACTGGACTGTCGCTACACTGCCGTCCTCCTTGAGGTAGCTGACACAATGTTTGATGTTAGATGAGCTGATGCACAAGACCAATGTTTAAACACAAATACGTATAGTATTATTATTACAAACACAAATGACACAGAGCCTCGCTAACTCACCTCCAGGAGCCGGCCATGTTGGAACCGCCACCAACACCCTCGTTGCCAGCAAACTGAAACTGGATGCCGTTCTCTGCCTCAAAGTCGGAGCTGTGGGCACCGAACTCGTCGGGGTTGACCTGTTGGCTGCGGAGTATGGCGACAGGCAGGGGGACGGGGGCCAGCTTGTCGGCCAGTGCCACAGCAACCACAGCGAGGATCACAGCCTGGAATATAATGTTTTTAGTCTTCCATATAACGTTGACTAAATATCATTCGATTATTTGGTAAAATTTGAACCGAGAAAAGCTGGATATTGGTACTAAAGCAAATTTGACTTAATTTCAACAGTCTTTACATATCACCAACTTGAAGTGTTTATAAATGTACTCACGAGCTTCATGGTGTAGGTTGTGATGGTGAGTGTGAGGGTGGAGGTGTCCGGCCGCCTTATATACCCGGCCAGGCAGTGAGGGGTCGCCCGAGGTCAGTGTATGGGTTGACCACCGATGGTTCCTTACACACCGAGTAACCTTGACGTTTGTCCTTTCATGGCGCGGGAGGCTGCCGGCAATAACTGAGCAGTTTTTGCTTCTCTGAGCCCCATATATTGTGTTTTTTAATTGTAACAGTTGAGAGTTAACCTTTTGGTGACGGTATTCATGGTGAGAACTTTTACACGCTGAGGCAGAGTTCATGTTCATTGAACTAACTTCTCTATCAAGTTGATCTACCTTCAAATTTATTCAATTCTCTATAAAAGTGATTAGGGGAGAATGTTACCTGCATAATAACTCACCTCAGCATCTTATTTCCACAAAGTTGCCTCTGAAGATGTTTTGAATAAAGATGAAAGCTAAGCTGCTCCATTATTTCCCTTTTCCCTGTGAATTTTTAATAACAAGGCGGGGGTTAGGGTTACCTGTTGACGTAGACGGCCAGGTGTGAGATGGGGCGGTAATTAGCGGAGTTTATTTCCTAGCTAATACAGTGTCCCTTACAGTGGGCGAAGGGATAGATAGATAGATGGATGAATGGATAGATAGATATATAGATAGATAGATAGATAGATAGATAGATAGATATCCTTTAAGTACCAGGTCTCACTTCTGACCCCTGGAAGAAGTGAATAAATCTACCTTCATGATAATTGCTGATACACATAAATTTACCTGAGAAGTAAAAAAAGTAGATTACAGTGAACCAGGTAACCGTAGAGTGGATCATGCTTCAGGTGTTCTAGTATCCAATATATGGGTCAACTCTTACCTGCCCCCTACCTGTGTATGGTGGAGGTGATGGTTCTATAACTAAGGTCTCTGTCTGTAAGGGGAAGGTTAAACAGAGGATTTGATTCTTTATTTTGTGTGTTTAGTGATGACATATTGTACACCTTGAATGTAGAGTTGATCGGTGTGATTCGGTCCAACTTTTGATTATTAAAGTCGAGGAAATAAACTATAAATGACGTACTTACTTTTCGTAATGACATCACCAGTTGTTTTTGCGTGACATCAAAGTACTGTCAAAAATGTGTCTTCCGTTGTCAAACTTCGCCACTATTATTTTGGTGCGATAGGCCATTTTTTGTTTTTGTTTATCGTTACTTAATCCTCAGAAACATTGTATTTTACATTCAATATTTACATTGGAAATATGGAATAGGTTGTTCTGTTACATTGCAAAGTTAGTATTGGGATATAGCTTATAATTTCCTATATATTTAACGAAAACGGGTGTCGGGCCGAGTTACTTAGGTTAACACTACTGTATATGCTTCTGTTTCAGGTTCCAAAGAGAGTTGGTTACCTGTTGAACCCATTAATTACCGGCTCAGTGCCTCCTGCATCAACCACAACCATAACACCACCCATCCAAGCTACCACACTACCATCTCCACCGCAACAATACCCACTCAAGCTACCACACCACCATCTCCACCACACCAGGTACAAGCTTGAAGTGGCTACCTGAGCTGGGGGGACTCACAAAAAACAATATACCTGGAGCTTTAGGTGAGCAAATTATCTTCACACACATATTATTGTGTAACAGCTACATATACGCTGGGTCAGACCACGGATACTACAGGGTGTCCATAAATGATTACCCTGATTAAAACACGGGAGCATACTGTTTTTAAGGTAATCAATCATTTATGGACACCCTGTAGTATTTTACGCAAGGTGATGTGAGGCTCGGTGGACGGGAGGGAGTAGCGTCCCCAGCACCATCTCTCGCGTTCCTTCACCCTGGGTCCTGCTGAGGCATTAACGATAGCACCTCTTCTCTGATTTCCCTTTTCATTTTATTTCTTAGTCTGTATTAGTACAACACTGAAGCTATATAGTTTGTTTATTACTGTACATTGCTCTGGTGTCGGTAGTTCTGCCTGGTGGACGTGTTCGAAAGTGTTGATTTAAATGGGAGTAAGTTTTCGTTTCTCACTTGTTAACAACGATTTATGACGATTTAATCTAGTTGTGTTTCATCTCATTGTATGTTTTTGTTTTGTTTTATTCAGTTAATAAATTGAGTTAAACACAATGAGAACAACATTCTTAAATGTTCTTCATAGTTGACTGACACTTTGAAACACCGATGAGGACAGAGTTTGGAAGTGTTTTTTCAGAGGTTCATGACCAACGGTTGAAGGTGTTCGTTATAATGAATTGCAACAGTTTATTTTGCCAGAAAAATACAGATACAGAGTGGATAATAATAACAATATAAACATGGCTGAGCCAGTTGAGAACCTGAGCTCTCTTTGAGGCACCTGATATATACTATACAGTACATTTATCTCAAGGAAGTATTATGTCACAGTTAGTATCATCTGGAATTGTACAATAGCATGGTGGTAATAAGTACATCTTATAGTGTTACCGCGGTTATCACTTCAATATTTATTTATTTTATTATTTATTGTTTTTATTTTATTTATTTATTTATTTTTTTATTTTATTTTTATTTTTTTATTTATACATACATATACACATACCTATACATATATATATACACACACACACACACACACACACATATATATATATATATATATATATATATATATATATATATATATATATA